CCCCAAAACCCCAAAACCCCAAAACCCCAGGACATAAAAACTCATTTGAAATAGTATTTTATGCTTATTCTTACTTGGATTAATATGAAAGTTTCAGAAAATTATTAAGTTTCTTAAAAAATTAGTCTCTTTTGATATTTTGTAAAGATCATTTTTGGAGAGATTTTGTTTCACATTTGGATGTCTCAAACATGGTGCTATTTAACTAGGTGTTTGTATATTAATATATCTTTGCTCTTTGTTCAGATCACTTGGCCGTTGTAAGTGGCTAAGTTATTCTTGAACTTAAGAATTTCAATTTACTCCTTGTTATAGCAGTCTATGTTAATATATCGGCAAATGAGTAAGCACTTCTTCTGTCTGCATATCTATAGACTCATCAATACGCTGTTATTTCTAATATAACACTGTAAATATCAATTTGGTTGCACTTAAGGTATGCCCTATTTAAGTAGATGTCTTTTAATTAAATGAGTAGTGCTTTGGAGAGAAATTTTGAAATTTCACATTCATAATTATGTAAGTGGAAGATGGAAAAATCTATTACAGCTCCACTTTGCTTGTCCCATATGCTAATAACTCAATTGTTTTGAAGCAAATTTGTTCTTAGTAACAAAATATAGGTATGAAATATTATTAAAAATTCAGTTAGAGGCCTTTTAGCTCCCTTCTCCAAATGTAAAAAGCCGCAGGTGGTTGACATCTTTGAACTCTTCTTGTAGACTTTCCTTTGAAATATTTTTGGGACTTAATTTTTCTTTGGACAATAACATCTTTTTCTGTCTGGCTTCTACTCATCTTCTTAATAAGAAACTGATTTCTTGTTTAATAGGAGACCCTCTATCTAAGCTATTGAGCTCATTTTTTATCATACTTCCAGATGTATTTTTCAGAAGAGATTTTTCACGTTTTAAGAACTCAGAGTATTCATCTTCAGGTATTGACAAAGACCAACATTTCGCCTTTGCAGGTCTGTCTATTAATCTAGTCAACTCATTTTGAGAAGGTTTGCAATACTTAGATTTATGAAAAGAGGAGTTCTTCATATTACCATCTAGTCTGGTAGATACCTTCACTTGCTTTGCAGAAGCATTCTCTGCAAGAAATTCTTCAGATAAATTTTCTTGGCTATCGAAACTATTACGCTTTAACATGGTTATTATAATTTCAGTTGTATATTTTTATATTGGGGTTTTGGGGTTTTGGGGTTTTGGGGTTTTGGGG